CGAGGACCCCCAGAGGCCGAAAATAGGGGAAAACTTCCCGACGTGATTCTTGCCGCACCCAGAAGGAGTCGGCACCTGCCAGCTGATTGGAGACGGCTCCGTGCGCATCCGGCCTTCTTCAGAGGAACAAAAAACAGCATGAGCATAATGATACCAGAGAAAAGCCCAATCATAATCTGTTTAGGGATATAGGGCTATGGGGCTATGGGGCTATAGGGCCATAGGGCTACAAGGCTATGAGGCTGAAGGGCTATAGGGCTATAGGGCCATAGGGCCATTGGGCTATACGGCTATAGGGCTACTAAAGCTATAGGACTATAGGGCCATAGGGCTACAGGGCTATAGCGCTATAGGGTTATAAGGCTGTAAGGCTATAGGGCTAAAGGTAGGACTACAAGGTTATAAGGCTATAGGGCTACAGGGCTTTCGGGCTATTGGGTTATAGGGCTATAGGGCTATTAGGGCTATGGGGCTATAGGGCTATAAGGCTATAGGGCTATAGGGCTGTAGGGCTATAGGGCTATAAGGCTACAAGGTTATAGGGCTATAGGGCTACCGGGCACCCGGGCACCCGACTTGCCGCCGAAATCGGCGGCGCACCTAACCTAACCATATGAATTCGCTAGAACCCCTACAGAAGCAAGCTCTGATTGGGCAAACTTTGAGAGGTCCGCGCATACTTCTTGGATCTGCGCTGGACGCTCCTCCCTGGCCCGCGGAGCACGCCAGGGGCGGCGCTAAAGGTGCCGCCAGGGGGACCTCAGCGCGAATCCAAGAAATCTGCGCGGAGCGCCAAACGTTTCTGTTTATGCTCAGGTCTGGCATGTCCTCCTACAGGCGGAAGTTGGAAGAAATCTTAAAAATCGACAAACAAAAAATGATACAACAAATATTCGAAAAATCGTCACCATGCTATTTTCCACTACTTCTGAATATTTCTCCTGTAGAGAGACATGCTCGACTTATGTTTGTGCACGGGGCCCACGCGCGAGGGCGCGGATGGGCACCGTGCGCGGGAGGGGGCCCCGCTCCTCGTGCCTCCCGGGGTGCCCCCGCGCTCGCGGCGGTGGCCCCCTCGGTGGCAAGGGCCCGGCCTCACGAGCGGCGAACCCAGACCCCCTCTTGCTCCTCCTCCTCCTCCTCCTCCTCCTCCT